AGTTCAGCCATGACAGTTAATTTAAACCGTGCCTTTGCTCAAAAGGAAACAATGTTAATTGATGAGATAATTTTTCCCGTTAATATTTGATGCCTTGGATTGCTCGGGAAGGGAAAGCGGCAGCGGGAGCCGCAATGGTGCGGGACGGCCGCCAGGTGGGGCCGGAGACCGCGGCATTCCCGGGAATAAAAGGAATAAAAACCTGAGGCTAAAGTGAATTCTGGCTGTAAAACCGACTGCATTAGAGAGCTCTGCTATTAGCGGGCATGGAAACTGCAATAATCTATAAAGCGTTTCAGAGAATGGTAATTGTTTGGGTTAGTTCATGGCTGTGCAATTAGAAGGCTTGATGATGGTGTGTGTATGAATATTTTTACATCACAGAACGTATTAAGTATTTAAGTATTGGCTTCATACTGTTGCCAAAGAGGAGAGCAGCATTTAAACACTATTTTAACTATATATCAGTGCAACAAAATGAGTGTGAACTTGTGTCAACTAAGTAATCTCTAAATATGAGGAAAAAAGTGAGGGTTCTGACCCACTATTGTGGGAATATTGGATATATCGTGTGTGAAGTTCAAGTGGCTTTTTGAGATACTGCTAAAAGAAAAGTTAAAATAACTTGGAGTCACAAACACTCTGGGTTCTATTGCATGTGGATTTGGCAACCTTGTTCTGGGATTGACTGATCCCCTGAGTTACCAGATATAAACCAACAAAAAAGTTCACTCCCTGGGGTTAGCATAAAACTCGCATTGTTATTTTGTTGTTTTTAGCAACATCTTGTAGTTCTGACTTTAACCATGGGTATTTGAAGAATATCAAAGATGCATCAAATTTTACCCTTTCTTATAAGAATATATTACACACTGAAGATGAGAAATTTTCATAATTGGGTTCCTCCATTACATAAATCCAGGAAGGTCATTGTGGGGCTCCTGTCCCATTCAAACAAGCAGTAAAAATGTGACTGATCTAAACAAAAGCTTTGGAAAGGTTTCATAAGGGAATTACAAAGCTGAGAGTTTTTGTAACCCTCACACCCACTCGATAGATTTTGCAGTGATCACATGTGGCCACAGAAGGCTATTTAAGGTCAGACTGGTAAGAAAAAAGCTAAGTAAAGACGTGTTTTGCTAACAAAGTGAGACGGAGTGATTTGGATGAGGTCAGTGTCTAATAGTTTAGAGAGGATTAGAAACAGTCACTGGCACTCAATCTGTTGCTGTAATTACTGAGCTACTCCAGTTCCTCACAGAACAACTCAGGTATTGGTAGTACTGCTCTTGGTATTCATGGTAATAAATTAAAACATATTAACATTCAGGCTTCTGTTTAATGGAAGGTGAAACTGTCCCATCTCAAAAAAGCAGAACATTTTCATATTTACCTGCTGAAACATCTGGGTAGAGTTGAACCTGGGCTTTTACGAAGCTGTGCTGGCAAATAACATGGCTTTAAGTTGTGCAGCTTTGAGTGTTCTTAAATAATGAAGTGCAAAAACATGTGAAAACAAACAAATAAACCACACTCCAATGCTCCAGTACGTTTTTATTGTGGTGAAGCCTGGGTCAGTTGTGCCAAAATGACGGGCAGTAATCAGCATTTGTCACCAGACTGCTGGAACTCCCTTGCTCAGTGGAGCAGTTGGCAACTCAGTTAGTACAGGCACAGTTAGTAAAACATTCGTCAGCTCATATGTTACCCTGAGCAATTAGCAGGGAAAGACCAAGAGGGCTTTTTTAACTCGTTGGTTTTTATGCAGATAAAAGCAACAAGCCTCCTCCTCAGAGAGGGAAAAAACCCATCAACACATTTACTTGCTGCAATTAATCCCTTACATATGTGGAATTCTTGCCTGCTGGTAGATAAGACTCACAAAATATGGATTTCCATTTTACACAGGGTCAGCAGTGCAGAGATTTAATTAAGTGTGCTGATACAAGATGTCAATAAACAAAAGTACACAAACTCCACACTTAGGAAACATTTATGCTTCAGTAGCTACTGGATTTGTAGAATCTCCAAAGGGCAGTGGTTGTTGTTGAGGACGGAAGCAGGAGAAAAGCTCCTAACAGCAAATTTATGGTTACAATAGCAAGCTAGGGACTAAATATAATGTAAGCCAAAAAGAAACATGATAAGTGACAGTCTTCTCATAGATAAGTGTGACAAAAGTATTTGTATCCATAAAGCCATATTTACGACAATCAATGGACATACTGACCTTGCCATTCTGTGTTCTCTTAAAGTGAAATCCAGCTAAGGAATCCTGGTGAATATCAGAATTCGATATTGTAGCACCAGGGAATGGTCCTGCAGCATTCTGGCAAGATGGTCACTCCACTTGACAAATTGCTAACAGCTTGTTAGCAAGCCATGCCTGTATTTTCTATTCACAAGCTGTAGATATGGTCTGTAAGACTGTTCCAGTGATTGCCATTTCAGCAAGGGGAAAAGGTCGGAAGACAATGGATTTTTAAAATAATGGATTAGTTACTTTGTATCTAAGCTCCTAACTGTACTTTAAAGCATAAATGGAAATTCTAAGCTGAGGAAAATATTATGGAGTGTGCTAATTTATTTCATATATTAAATATCAGCTATCATAGATAACTGTGGAACCAAAGAGGGGGAAGCAGCAGCTATTCTCTTTTATAATTTAGCAGGCTAGGAGGGTGCAGCAACCATGTTAATACCCAGCATTTACAATGTATTTTACTTTTTACCAAGATGTACTCACTATGGGGGGAGTTATATGGATTTGTTAATTAAGTCACTGTTATCCGTATTTTAAAACAAGGAGGTTTAGCTGTGGGTATTTGGAGTGGTTAATCACGCAGTGAACACAGCAGAATCAGGATTAGAACAGGATTGTCTCGTTTCCTGTCCATGTTTTAATCAACTTGGTATTCTTGCCTGTCTAGACCACTCTGTATTTAATATTTAATCCCCTTTCTATTGACAAAACCTAGACTCCCATTTTGATAGGAAAGTAGAAGTAGCATAATTTTGACAGTTGTAGTGTTTTATTGTCTCCCTCCGTCAAATTTTAGACTCTGCTTATTTTCCAGGACCCTTTTTTTCTTAGGACATCTATTTCTGTCCCAGTTGCTCCAAATAGGATTGTTATCCTTGCATCTACTTACAGCATGTTGCTTGAATTTAACCTTGCATCACTTGATGTTTCACTAAAGGGAAAATCTGCTATCACATGTTTATGTGCAGTGGCTTTTGTTATGGATGTCAAATCAAATAGGATAAGTACAAAAATCTTGCAGAACAGATTAAAAAATTAATCACTGATTAAAAGGTAAAAATTACTTAGGTTTTCTTTTGGGGAAAAAAATAAATAAAATAAATACAATATAATAAAATTAAAAAGTACATGGACACTTGTGCTTGGGTTTCCAAACAGCCATGGTGAAACACTCCTGCCGATGGATTTTGGACTTCTTTGTGAATATCACTCAGATTTTTGATACCTTAGGAAGTCTGTGAATAGTGGATACTTTAGCACTATAAAATCCCTCCTTGGGGATGCTCCCTGGTACGGAAGTGAGGATGAGTAGAAACTAGAGCAAGTTAAGGAGAAAAACAGGTTATTGACAGCTGTGCTACAAGCACTTGCGAGTAGTTTGGACTGTAAAGCTGAACAGAAATTAAGGAAAGGCTTGCCTGAGTAAGCAGGAGGTGACATCCCCTCAGGAGGGGGAGCTGCCAGATCAGCATGAGAAACGATGTAACAGCATACAGCAGCTTGAGCAATCATGAATAGAAAAGTTACGGAATTCGTGCTAGTGCCTCTGCTGTAATGCATAAATAGCGTAAAGTTTTGCTGATCGGTGAGCCAGCCTTTCGCGTGTTACCATCCCGCTCCCTACTTCGGGCAAACTGGAATAAAACACAGGAATCGCTCTCCTCGGTGTGCGAATTGGCCCCCGCGGTCGGGACAACCGGGACAACACAATGCTGCGGCATTTAATGCAAATAAACGGGGAGGTCACGACCCCGCGGCAGCGCCGGGACAGGGTCACCGGGAGCGCCCCGGGAGCGTCGGGCACCGCCCGCCCTC